CATATTTTTCTAAAATTATATATATATATATATATATACGTAAATTAAAACGTCCTTCCGAAGCGGGCGACGAGATTTCGATTCCGGCGACCGACAGCTTCTTACGGGCGACCCCCCAAACTTTCTTCAAACCTTCTTTTAAGTGCCGACAGCACTTTAAATGCTGATTGTTGAAGCTTTTACGCACCTTTTTGTGACTGATTTGGTCATTATTTTTGAAAGAATTTAAACGTCTTTAGGCCAATTTACTTGTGGTTTTGCCCCTTTGTTTTATTGATTTCTTTTTAGAAGTGGGTCAGCCTTCTTCCTTGTTGATTTATTTTTGTTAAGAATGGTTAAGTCAAAAATGAGAATTTCTTATTTAAATATTTGGAAAACACTTGAAAGTTATTTGAGGTTTAGTTGGAGAGCACTTATTTGAGGGTAAAATACCTAGGCTTCCTAGACTTTAGGAGCACACCCTAGGTAACACCTAGGCTTCCTAGACTTTATGAGCACACCCTAGGTAAGAGTTCCTCTACCTAATTTTCAAATGAATGACAAAACTAAGCACTTGACCTTAATTCACAAGTCGATTAAAACACTAAACATAAAGATACACCAAGATGTGGTTCATAACTTTTAATTAAATCGAGTAGTGAAATTTCTGTCATGACTTAACCTATAGTGAAACCAAATGTTCCGGGATTTGAGTTTGAGCCTTACACTCAAATGTTCATAGCAATTGGTGATATTCCTAATGTCACATATAAATTCATACTCATGTTTCTTTATATGTAACATTGTGTTTTCGATTTACTCGTTTTTTTATTGTTATGATTTTATTATACCAAAATTTCAAGCAATTTGTTTAAGTCCCCTGCAATTTACTGTTCTTTTTTTTATTGCATTATTTACTTTAATGCACTTGCTAAACTCCTTGGGTAGAGAACAGTAGGATATATGTTGGGGGGCACACCGAGCCCGTGAGAGCCAACAATAATTGTACTTACAAATACAAAACATGATCTAAATTTGGAGTGCTACGACGTAGAGCTTGGAGCTAACACCGTGGGCAGCTCAACTAGGACAACTTGGAGAGAGCAAACAGGTCTGCAAAAGCAAACTTTTTTCCTTATAATTAAATAACAAGTCATAGAACTTCGAGGTAGTCCGCCTAGCGCGATATAAATCCTCACTTTATCTTTAGGCTTTTGCACAGTCAGTTGTGTAATTTAAGCACTAACTCGTTTTAGATTTTGAGGTTGTCGTCCGATACGACGTAAACCCTCATATCTTTCAGGTCATTTGTATGACCGTGTCACGCAAATATAAGCCCTAAATAATAAAACATGCAGGATGAAACATCAAATAATATTTTCTCAAACTTGAAGCCAAACAATAGGATAGTTTGGGAAATCACCGAGGTTCGCCTTAGGATCCATGACATCCCTTAATTTTCTTTCCTTTGATTCAAGAAATAAATGTTCACATTTTGATCATTTCCCACTTGACTTTTCTATTTCCAACCTTGGAAACCCTAAATTTTAGATTCATGAAGATAGTTACCTCTGATCATCATCGAGAGTTCTCTTAAGTCACTTCAGTCATTTGAGAGGTAATTAACTATAGAGATTTGCCTCTATGGGGAGTTTTAAAAACTCAGGTAATATAAACCCTATCTAATTTTTCATATTAAGTAGAGAAACTTGTCGGTCAAAATAAAAGGTTCGCAGACTAAAATAGTTGTCATAAATTCTTTAATTTATTTAATCAAGCATCACCAGCAAGTTGTGTATCTATCCTTCGAGGTAAATATATTTATTGTGGTTGTGTTCGATCATTTAAACTATTGCAGATATGAGATCGTTTCGGTCTTATATTTTCAAAAATTAAAATATTACTTTTTCTAAATTATATATATATATATATATATTAAATTAAACATCTTTTAAAACCGGGCATCGGGATATCCATTCCGCCGACCTGGTGGTCGATAATTTCTAAATTTTTTAAACAACCGACAGTAGATCATAGAAAAAGTGCTTTGTAGTGCTAGATATCAGAACTTCCCATGTAAATTCATTCCTCCTATCTTGGCCTGCCAGGCTACAACTAAGAGTTGTGGACAACAATACCCAGAACAAACAATGACCGTTTAGAGTTCTTAGTTTAGTAATTTATGCATTCACAGAACAAAGAGAGATTTCAGAATGTAACCAACAAAGTACACAAAAAGTGCAGTGGATTGCAGCTAAATATCAGGATGCATTCAATGAACACCCTGTCAGTAGCTCTATGTTACCATAAAAATAAGGACAATTTACATACATACCAAAGAAGCCTTATGTTGCATATTTAACACCAAAAGGTTCATATTTAATATATAACATTTTGGTGTTATAAACCTATGCATGAAAAGGTTTATTTCACTTTTAAAAAGTTCTTAGTGGTGGTATTTTTAATTTAATGTTAAATGTTTAGGTGGTATGCATGTAAATATCAAATTTTGGGTGTTAGATATGTAAATACATGAGAATTGTGTGGCATGTATATAAATGCCACTAAAAATAATTATTTCCGATAGAGATAATGTGGCAAACCTGATGTACAACGGCTGTGCCAAACCCCAAATCCCGTAAGACGATAGATAGCATTTCTTTAATCTCTACACAAGCAGAAACAAAAATTAAATTTTCATATAATGTTTTTGACTTCAAGTTGATGATCGAAAAATCAGGATTGTCAATAGCAAAGCACCAGGCAAGAAGAATAAAATTTCTCAAGATTAATTCAAAATAGCAACACTAAACTGTCATATTTGCAATCTATAAGCTAGTAGCTTCATCAAATGATAGCATTTCCTATACTTTTGCATGAAATTAAAAGCCCTAATTAAATTAGCTGTCAACCAGCTCCTAAAATTCAAAGAAAACAAAAAAAATGATATGTATAAAGTGCTGCCCAAATTTAAAAGGCAGAACAATAACGGAATCAAGTAAAATTTATAAATATAAAAAATTATAAGCATAAATGAATCTCAAATAACTCATAAACTCATAAAACAATAATTATGATTAAAGAAGGAGAAACAGTTGTCTAATAAAAAATCAAGTTAATTAACTAGTTAATCAGATGATTAAGTTAACTCTACTAATTAATTACTGAATAAGTATTCAATTAATGTTGTTTCAAAAATAACTGGAAAAAGGTCAGGCTTTCTCAAGCCCATCCTAGTCTCTAAAACATTAGAAAAAAGTAAAAAAAAAACTTCAAAATAAGAAAAATGAGTTGATAAAAATCAACCTCAAGAGTAAGATTTGTGTCAACTTGAAAATTGACATTAAAGAGTCCCAAACATGGACGAACAACCACCTCGATTATCGAATGACTCGGGCAAAACAAGCACAGCCGAATACAAGCTTCTATCCACAGGAAGAATATGTAACTTATCAACCAATATCCAGTTCCAAATCACGCATAGATCGGTAATCACCTGCAACAAATAAGAGCAATGTGTTTTATAGAACTCAGAACACCAAACAAATTAATCCGAAGAAACTATAGGATATTTAGTTTTGGGGCATTTACATACATACCACACAAGTCTTATACATTTACATATTTAAAACCTAAGCATTCATATTTACATGCATACCACTCAAATCTTTAATATTCCATTAAGAAAATAGCATGACCATTTTTTTAAAAGTGAAACATACTTTTCATGAATAGGTTTATGACACTAAAATGTTATAAGTGTAAATATCAAACAATGGGTGTGGGTGTTAGATATGTAAATGCATAAGAATGAGGTTACCATCAGATAGTAAATCAATAAAGTAATGTGTAAAAATACGAACCTGCTGTAACGGATAATCCCGAGAAATGTTAAAATGGCCACGACGAATCGGATGACTTAAGCAGTATGGTTCAGAAGGTGAAATTCCAAGGGCTTCCTCCCCACAAAAAAATTCCTTGAATTTATATTCTTCAGAATCAGAGTCGCCAGGAACAAAAGATTCAGATGGTTCCCCGTCTAAACAATTTTGAGGAATATATCAGCAGTTCAAGATCATCATAAGAATGTGCTTTTGGAATAAGAGCTAAATTAAATAGGAAAATTTACATACATACCACACAATTCCATCGCATTTACATATTTAACACAAAGTTTGATATTTACATTAATACACTTTGCTGTCATGAGCCTATCATTAAAAAGTGTACTTCACTTCTAAAAAGTTGTTGATATTAAAGATCAGGAAGTTATGAAAAGTTTAGATGTTAGATATGTAAATACATAAGATTTGTGCAATATGTATGTAAATGCCCCAATTAAATAAGCCAACAACGTAAAAATACAGTACACATAATGTCATTGGAATGGTTTCACTTGATAATAACCATGCTTTGTTAAATATGAAAAAAATTGAATGACTCGGTGCATGATTAATGACATCAAAAAATTTAAAAACATTATAGAAGCACAATACCTAAAACGATATAAAACTGTGCTATAAGAACTAAAAAACTACCAAAAGAAAGTTTCACAAGATACTTACCGTTCCCAAAATCTTCTATAAAAGTAATAGTGCACAATCATTCGAAATAAGGGTAATAAACTTGAATCTGTCCTTAACATAATTGATTATAATTGGTAAGAAAATTCTTTCTAAGCTACTTTATTTCATCAATACATGATTTCCATTGATAAAGATATCTCCTTTGAAAAAGAAACATTGCTGCCATACAATCATATAGCATGATGTCATTTTCTTTTTTTAATACCATGCACATACCACTAGGTTGAATGGCCTGCATGGGGTCCATTTTAAAAATCATGTAGAAAACTCAGTTTTAAAAATTATCATGCTGCATTATAGCCTTCACTTTTACAAATTGATTAGCTGGATAAATGAATTCCAAATTTGAATAATATATGTTCCCCCGCCATATTGCCTTGATTTTGATCTCACAAAATTCACTATATTTTGATCAATATGTCTTTATAATGGAATGTGAGACCTGATAGTTCAAATAGAGTGAACATAAGAATTAACTCTTATCTCTTTACTCTCAAAACTATTGTCAGCTATAAGATGGCTTTAACTATTGTTAAAAGTTTGAATCAAGTCTAGCGAATAAAACAAACCTCTTAAATCATTCAAAAGCATCTAAACCATTTTATGCTCCACATCAAATAACTTCAATTTTTTATGGTGATGCCTTCCGTCAAGATTGACAAAAATCAAAAGATTGGTCAGCTAAACTGTAAAGATCTAAGTTTTCAAGGCATGACGGGCAGATAAATAAGTTGAAATCTTTTGCATGACTATCTTAGTAACAAAAAATAAGGGAAATATACATACATAGCACACAATTCTTATGTTTTTTATATGTCTCACCCCTAAACTTTCATTTACATACATAGCACTTTGGTGCTTTAAAATGCTTTAAAACTATACATACATAGCACTTTGGTGCTTTAAAACTATGCATGAAAAATTGTATTTCACTTTTAAAAAGTGGTAATAGTGTCATTTTTGTCGTGATATTAAAGATTCGGGTGATCGGTGTGCAGATATGAAAGTTTAGGTGTGACATATGTAAATGCATAATAAGAATTGTGTACTATGTATGCAAAAGCCCCAAAATAAATACACAAAAACATGGATTCTTGCCATCTGTGGTAAGACTATAGTGGAATCCACTGAATGGAAAGAGATGCAGTGTAATCAAGTCCTTGAAATGAATTTTTAGTTCATATAGCATCATATCTTTTAGCAACATGGTGATGGTTTAGTTTGTAAAAGAATATCATAAGGCCATCAAACAAAGACAACACTCCAACCAACTGGAATAATGGCATTTCCCCCTATATTTATAACTTTCAAATTGAAATTTATGAAAGTCAACATTTGCAAGCATGCAAAAAGCATATTTTTCAAAAAAATAATAATAATTGTTAAAGAAACACCTTTCGAAGTGTGAGAATTGGATTTCTGTTCCAAGACGTTTGTCCAGGTGATAGGCGAATCATGTCTACTATGATGTGCAAATCCATCTACACGTCCCACCTGTAGGATAATTCATGCAAAAAAACATTAAATTTGCAAGCAAAACCCTGAGAATATCTAATTCGGTGACTTCCATATGTGGCAGATTTAGAAAGCACATTAGGAGCTAAACTGCGACAACATTGTGATTCTCGAATATAAGAAGTCTTTTTTGGTAAAAGAAAAAGACTCCAAGGAAAAGAAAATTTTGTTGCTGCAGTTATAACTACTGGAAAAACAATCAGCACATCGGACAAAAACAGTACCATGCTTTTACCTTCTTCAAAGACAATATAAGGAAAGACTTATAAAATAAAGGAACCAAGTTTTGCAGCTTTAAACTGTAGCTGTTCATTCAAAGAATTCCAATATTCTATGAAAACTTAATTCATGATTCATGCGAGCCAAAAACCATATTGAAAGAGGATGTCCTATAATATGGAACTCAAAAAAGAAATTCTTTGAAATGAGAAAAAGTACTATATAAACTTAAAGCTTCTGGATAAAAATAGGTAAACGGTGTTCAATATTATAGATTCAAGGGAACCATAATTTCTACAAGAAGAGTAGTAGCATTTTGGGAAAATCTACGAGGTTGAATCCTAAAATCACTTCACATAAATTCATTTCTCTTTCTATCATGCAGTTTTCTGGAAACCAAATTCAAATAAACTTCATTACCTCCTAAAGCCGTATTATCAACTTTATGCAGGAGTACTATTGATGTGCCATCCACAAGTTTTCATCATTAGGCGTGAATCTCGATGCATTTTGAGCAAGAAACATTCCAAATTCAAATTCAAGATAATCCAGGCCTTAATTTCAACAAATTTATACTCAAGCTTGGCATCTTGACAAGACGCATCCAATGATGCTAAAAGTGGTCTAATTTGAGTCCAAATCAAACACTTGAAGTGTAATCAAAGATTTTTGTGCATCAATTGAAAATGATATCGAAATTTAGCATACTCATATTCAAATCGAGTGTTTCAACAAAAAAAATCCAATGAGCACATGGTCATTAAATTTTAATGTCATTATGGCGTTTAAATGTTGAAAAAAACTGTGATTAATGTAATCAATGTGGACCATTTGATAGAGTGTTTTGAAATATTGATCAAACTTACCAAAATATTCCTCTAAAAAACTATAAATAAAAATCATTCTTCATTTAAAGGGATAAAAGAATAAAAGGGAGGGCTGACTACTAAAGTTTAACACTTAAAATCCTGATGGTTATCATTGATCACCTGAGATCGTGGCTGATCACCTGAGTTCACTATTGAGCGTCAGAGTTCACCGCTGACCACCAAGGGTTATCAATTACAACCAGAGGTCATCTTCAAACACCAATCATTGTTTATCACCACCAACTACGGCTTTGATAACCCTACTATGACTATTATAGTCACTTGCAACTATGAATTACGTCACTAACTACAGCTGTTATAACCTCCAACTATGACTTTAGTAGCTCTACTATGATTGTCATAGATATAAACTATGACTTCTATAACTAACTATGATTATTATAAGCTCACCACAATTATTGCAGTTATACTACAACAGTTATAGTCTCGATTACCCTTAAAAATTGTATATGTTGGGTTATTTTAAAACAGTTATTATTTCAGCATCATCTCATAATCTCATTTTCCCTAATCCAGATAAAGTGCACATCTATACTCTTGATTATATAGTGAATTAATTTAACTATGTCAGACTCCATGTATTTTCTCTTTCCAGAATTTTCCCAAGTAAGAAATTTTGGTGTTTGCTCCTATGACTTTTCTTTTATCTGAGTGCGTTGAATCTTCGTGCAACACTACGTTAAATTATTACTTTACCGTCCCGAACATTCTAAATTGTAACAACTAGCATTTTTTTTTGGAATATTTACATAAGTACCACTTAATTCCAATGTATTCTCATATCTAACTCCTAAAGTTCAATTTTTACATAGATGCCACCTTGTTTATGCAAGAAAAAGTATATTTCAATTTTTAAAAGTTAAAATAGTAATCTTTTAAATGTGATTTGAATTATTAGGGTGGTATAAACGAAAACAAGTAAAGTTTAGGTGTTACATATGTAAATACATAGATAGTAATTGGGTGGCATGTATGTAAATGCCTCTTAACTAGAACATACTAAGAACAACTCTCCTGAATGCAGATTAGCTAAGAACATTTCTATTTGATGAATAATGCAATGAAACAGTTAAGTGAGATGAGCAAAAGTTCATATATAAGGATTTATTACAAAACATAAAAAATATTTCATAATTGACAATTGTATGCTCAAACATTATTTTACAATGCCAAGACAAAACAATTTTAGAAGAACAATGCCTTGAAGCCATTTTCATAAACCAATTTCACTTGCTTTAGATTATGGAACAAATTAAACTTTCTGTTCTGGCAGGTTTTGACAAAAAAAGGCAGCAATTAGAGAAAGAACAAGTCGATCAAAAGTGAAACTTCGGAAACAAAATAGTAAACAATGGCCATAAAGACAAACCTTACGGGGTAAAGAGTTGTTTGTAGCTTCTTCGTCCAGAAATGGTACTTTTAGGAAAGATGCAATCTGAAATTCAAGATTTGCAGTAAGAGATTCCGGAAAGCAGATGCTATGATAAGTAATAATAAGGAGTACTTACATACACACCACACAATTCTTATGAATTTGCTTATCTAACACCTAAAGTTGATTTTTACATTTAGAACCCCCAAATCTTCATATCGCATAAAAAATACCGCCATGTTAACTCTTAAAAAGTGAATACAGCTTTTCAAGCATAGGTAAAGTGGTATGTATGTAAAATTGAAGTTCTGGTGTAAGATATGTCCATGCATAGCAATTAAGCAGCACTAGTGTAAGATATGTCCATGCATAGCAATTAAGCAGCATCTATGTAAATCTTCCTAATAATAATAAGAGGCATTTAAATGCATACCAAACAAACACAATTCCTATGTATTTACACATTTAACACCTAAACTTTGATGTTTACATTCATATTATCAAAATCATTCATATCACATCAAAAGTATCACTATTTTAACTAATAAAAAAGTCAAATACACGTTTTCATGCATAGATAGGGTGGCAAAAAATATATTTAAAAATTGAAGTTTCGGTGCTGGATATGTAAATACATAAGAATTGAAAGATATCTTCCTAATAATAATAAATGAATGAATTTGAAGCAAGTGAATACAAAGCATAAACATCCCATATATACCATATCATAAGCCTTCTCACGTTCCATGTTTTGGGCAGGAGTTGCTTGAGTGTTGAGCATCTAAAACCAGGAAAAAATAAAACAAAATAAAAAATTACAGACAAGGAAAATAGAATTTTGGATTCATGTTCCAGTTATCAAGCAAGACGGCAAATTTCAGCACTCATACCTGATCCTGAACATGTCTTTGCTGGCCAGACTTCACATATCTTGAAATACAATGAGGAATATTGTAGGGCACATTTTGATGAGCAAAGCCAATTCTAACATTTGCAGAACCTTCAAATAATAGATAAATAATTCAAATCTCGACGCATTTACTGATGTACAGTATACAAAGTTCACAAAAACCCTAAAATCGTCAGAAATATCTCCTGGAAGGACTAATTTTCTCGTTTTTTTAATTAAATGTGTTAATTAAATGTGTCACATAAGGGTTCAAATTCTGTTAGGGCTTGTTACCTGGATTGATGACGACCAGATTGGAGCCGCGCTCTGCAATGAGCTGTGAAGGAACGACGCTTTTGAGGTAATCCTGCATAGAAAGATGAAAACTGATTGCATTGGGCAAAGTGAAAATGTGAGAGTGCAATGAACAAAAGGATGGAGATTTGGAATATCGGGCAGGGGAAAGATGAACTGTAGGGGAATGGAACCGACGATTCACCATTGTTTTGGTGGAACAGAGCTCGATAAAGCTTACGGGGGGGATCTCGAAGACGACCACTGCACGCCGGCCCGAAACTAATTTGTAATTTTATAATTTATTTATAAGTTCTCACAAAAATAATAATTTTTAATCTTTTATTTAAAATAAATTAAATAAATGTCATTTTTTAAAACCTATTTTAAATTATAAGTAATCAAATGAGCCCCCCTAAGCTCATTTTAAACTTCATAATATTGTTACTATTCTTTAAAAATAAAAAATAAGAATACTTTATCGATCTAATATTTCAACTTAAAAAGGTGAATTTGTTTTTTTTTTTTTTAAGAATTGTAACTGTATTTAGGGGGGTAAAGGGGCTGAAGAGACTCACTCGTTTTGAAGCCGT